CTATCTATCTATCTATCTATCTATCTATCTATCTATCTATCTATCTATCTATCTACCAACCTACCTATCTATTTATAATTTATGAACCACCTACCTATCTTTCATGTATGTACGTATGTATGTCTTTATCTACCTATTTACCTATCATCTTTCACACAATCACAATTTGTGCTCTCACAATCTGTTCTGTTTGCTTATTTGTCTTCCATTGTCTGGATGAATATTGCTGGTTTACTAGTTCTTTTTTTTTTTTAAAAAAAAAAAGATTTATTTATTATTTATACAACATTCTGCCTGCACATCAGATATTACTATAGATGGAGATGAGCCACCCTGTGGTTGCTGGGAATTGAACTCAGGACCTTCAGAAGAACAGTGAGTGTTCTTAACCTCTGAGCCATCTCTCCAGCTCTACTAGTTCTTCTATAAAGCACAATGCCTTGAATTAGTTTTCAACATTTTCTTTTTCTTTTTTAGTTTTTGAGACAGGCTCTCTCTGTAGCCCTCATTGTCCTGGAACTCACTCTGTAGACTAGGCTGGCCTTGAATTCAGAGATCTACCTGCTTCTGCCTCCTGAGTGCTGTGATTAAAGGTATGTCCCACGACTGTTAGGATTCTATTTAATTTTTAAAGATTTGTTTTTCATATATGTATATACATATATATGCGCATGTGTGTGTGCATGTTTCTGTGTGTTAGCATTGCCACATGCATTCAGGTGTCCAAGGAGGTTGGAAGAAAGCATTGAATCCCTTGGGGACAGAGCTATAGGCACTTGTGAACTATTTGATGTTGGTGCTGGAACTGAACTCTGGTCCTCCGAAAGAGCAGGAAGTGCTTCTAACTGCTAAGACATTTCTCCAGCCCCATTTAAAAATTTTTAATTGGAGACAGGTTCTCAATATGTAATCCAGGTTGGCCTCAAATTCACAATGCAACTGAGGATGATCTCAACTTTTATTTTTAAAATTTATTTCATTTTTTTATCATGAGCTTGTGTGTATGTGATGACAATCAATATAAGTAAGTCCTTGCCTTTCATTTTGCTTGAGACAGGGTCTTTCCTTGGCCACTGTGTAGGCCAGGCTGGCCTTTGAGCTTCTGGGCATTCTCCTGTGTCTGCTTCCCATCTCAGCACTGGAATGCTGCCCTGTCTAGCTTTATGCAAATTATTAGAGCTCAAACTTATGCTTTTGAGCAAATGTTTTACCCATTGGGCATCTCCGGAGCCTGCCCATGAGCTTCTGAGCCTCCTGAGTGTTGGGATTAAAGATGTGTGTCACTATTCCCTGTTGTTTTGTTTTAAGACAGGTATTTCTATATATCCTTGTTTGGCCTGGTACTCAACATGTAGCTCAGGCTGTCCTCCAAGCTTGCAACAATCCTCCTGCCTCAGCCTTCCAAGTGCTAGAATTAGGGCATGAACCACTAGGCCTAGCAAATGTTGTATTTTACACGTATTAGCTAATTTAATCCTCACAATAATACTAAAGATGAGAGGTGTTACTATTCCCTTCTTATAGATGAGGAAGCCAATCATTCTACCAAAGTGGCCGTACGTATTTGATGACATGGCACACTTGAAACACTTAGGGCAAGAGTTAGTGATTGTAATGTAAGAGGTAAGCGTTAGAATTTTAGTTTATTTTATCCACTTGGTCCTTAGAAGCATTTACATGTGCTACTCTGATTATCAGTTGGAAAGAAAGTTGCCATATACCATGTAGGATGCCCAGTTAAATCTGAGTTTTTAGGGTGAAGAAGCGTGGAGGGCAGGAGAGAAGTGAATAAGAACAAAGTATTATGGTATGTACATACCACAATGAAATACAGACCTTTGTGTGCTAACTACAGATTAATGATGGCCAGAGAACTGACTCAGCCAGTAAAGGCACGTGTCATCCTTGGGGCTCACATGGCGGGGAGAGAGAGCCAACTCCTGCCAGCTGCCCTCTGACCTCTATATGCATCCTGTCTAAGCACACGCAGTAAATGAGTGTAGATGTCAAGAGTGTGCAGAGCCCATGAAGGCCAGAGGAGTGCGTCAGATTCCCTAGATTTGGAATTACTATTGGCTGTGAGTGGCCTGATATGTGTGTTTGGAATTGAACTTGGGATTTCTGGAAGAGCAGAAAAGAGCTGCCTATGGCTGAGCCATATTCCCAGCCACCCAAGGTTTTAAAATGTAATTTTAAAATATTTTGTATTTGTTATTAGTGTGTGTGAAGTGTGGGAGTGTGGTGGTCAGTAGACACCAATATTCAGGGGTCTTCCTGAGCTCCCTCCATTGTGTGGGTTTCTGGTTTCAGAAACCAGAAACGTCAGGCTTCTGAACTGTTACTTGCTGATCCACTTTACTGGCTTTAATGTAGGTTTTAAACAGGAGGATTCTGAGGAAGACAGTGCTTGTGAAAAAACAAAGAAACAAACAAAAAGATAGTTGGGAGAGCATGGGCAGGAACTTCTCAAAGATGGCGTGGCCTTTATAATAGCCATGCATATACCATTTGGAGACTATTATCCTCAAAGTGTTTCTAGAGAACCTAATGAGATGCCAGTGTGGTTTCTGAAGCCATTTGACAGGTTTACAATTGATAAGGAAAAAGTATAGGTGATTAGAAATGGCAGAAAGCCCTTTGCCTACAGAACCATCGCTCTGTACCCCACTGTTATCTTCAGAGACAAGGTCTAATGTACCAGGGCGGGCCTCACACTCCCTGTGTAGTAGACAAGGATGACTTTACCCATCCTCCCATCTCCACCTGCCCAGTGCTGGGATTACAGGCATGTACCATTATACGTGGTCCGAAGGATGAAACCTAGGGCTCCACGCCTGCTAGGCGAGCACTCTACCAACTGAGCTTACACCCTCAGCTCCCAGGCCGTAGGCCTTCACTGGTCTCTGGATCCAGATCCAGGCTCTCTGAAGGCCTGGCAAGTGTCTCTCTCCATTAGCACAGCTTTTCAAGCCTTCCCTGCCTGTGGCAATTAAAAGTGGAACAAATCCAGGCAAGATCAGGACAGCAGCATGACTAAGTGCTTTTTCTAGGGAAAACCAGTAAGGGACAGGTGGCATGTGGGCCACTAGGCTGTCTTTCTCAAATGGGCTTCCTTTTCTCCCCTCCTCTTCTCCCCCCTCTTTTTTTTTTCCTCCTTTTACCCTTCCTTCTCACCTTCTTCCTCTTATTCCCCTTCTGTTCTTTCAGACAGGGCCTCGTTCTCCTCAAGCTCTCCTCAAACTCACTATGTAGCCAAGGGTGACCTTAAACTCTTGATCTTAAAGTTCAGATAGTACAGGCATCTAGCCCCATGCACTTCTGGACACCCCCATCCCTTGCCTATAGCCAGCTCCTTCAGACTTCCGGCCTTTGCTGTAGTGCAGGTTTGGTTCTTTCCTGGTATGCTAGGTAGAAGAAAAATGAAAGTAGTTTGAGGTTTTATTAACCACTGTTTCTGCATTTTAATTTTTTTAAGTCAAGCCAAGACTGGGGTGAGTTCCGAGTCAAGGAACCTGAGAGCCAGAACCACACAGCGTGAAAGAATGAGGAAATGCCCTGGCTGTGATTTGCTGTCTTGACCAACACAGCTATTTGGAGAAACACCCAGTACTTGTTTCAGATCTGCCTGACTCTTCACAACATCCTGGAAGGTGGGCTTGTAGCCATCCTGGCAGGAATGAAGACATCAAAAGAGATGCTTGTACCCCTCCCTTTAGCTCTTGAACTATGGGTACAAGGGAACCCAAGAAATGAGAAACTTCCCAGGAGTCTCAGTCTGGTGAAAGCAAAGGCTGGGTTCCTGGAGCCAGGTAGAGGAGAACTTGTCTAGCAAAAAGGCTTCACACAACCCTGCCAACTTACCAGACCACCTTTCAAGAGAGACTGGAGCCCAGACAATGCCCCCGGGCAAGACTCCGCCTAACCGTGATGACTGATTTAGGCATACCCATTGCCCTCTATTTAAGCCTAAGCCTCATGTCAGGGCCCTAACGCTGGACTCCAGGGGCTCACCGTACCTCTTTGTTGTTCTCAATGCATTCCCGTTGCAGCCAATCTCCCTTTTCGCTTGTTGACATTCTTTTGTCTCTTTATTTGGCTATTTGGCTTTTGGGGATAGATGCGATAGACTAGCTTGTCGGGGCTGCCAGGCCTGAGCTGACTCTCACATCTCTGTTACAGGATCTACTGCTTTCTTATGGCGATTTGGTTGCGGAGGCTCAGAGGACTATGTCTGAGACTTTGAAAACAATGTCGCACTGGCCACTCCCTGAGAGTTTCCCTTGGCCAAGTTACTTTTCGTTCCTCTCCCTTTCCTGGGTTTTCTAAATTCTCATTCTAAATTCTCAGGAAAACTTTTATTTACTTGAGTAAGATGATAACTGTTAAGTAATCTCAGCTTAGTTTTACAGAACCTTGACCTTCATAAAACAATAGAATGTGTACAGCCATTCCATGTTCTTTGGTTCCAAGCATCAGATAACACAAAACATGTAAGTTGCTATGATGTTTAACTTGTAGAAAAGTGGTAAATTTGTTACTTGTTCTAGGAGGTTTGTCCCAGCCGCCTCCCACTTTTCCTTTCTTGTAAAAGCTGCTCATTGGGCTGGAGAGGTAGCTTGGTGGGTAGAGTGCTTACTGCACAAATATGAGGTTGTGGTTCCCAGCACCCATGTAAAAAGATGGGGTGGTGGCACATACCTGTAATCCCAGCACTGGGGAGACAGAGAAAGGAGGATCCCTGGGGTTTGCGGGCCAGCCAGACCAGCTGAATTGGTGAGCACTTGGCATCTACCTTTGTCCTCTGTGCCCCGCCCCCCCGACATACAGACACACAGACAAATACAGACAGACACACAGACACAAACACACACAGACACAAAGACACACACACACACACACATAGACATACAGACACAGACACATACAGCCATACACACAGACAAGCACATACACAGACATAGACACACAGATAGACAGACAAACATATAGACACATACAAATACACAAACTTTGTGCTCCCAAGTTTTCTGAGATGGGGCTCTGATGAAATAGGCCCCAAGTAGATGCAGGAAGGTCGCAAAGGGCAGAGGTAATTGCCAAGTGCGATAGGCCTCATCTCCTCGGGATGTCAGTCTCTGAATAAAACTGGTTTCCTTTTTTACCTGGTCTCCTCCCCCGGAGGAGGGCTAGCAGTTGGACATGGGGTCAGTAACGGCAAGTTGTTGGGAGAAGGACTGGATTTTTAAATCTATATTTTCCTGAAGTTTGTTTTGTGGACTTGCTAGTTCCTGCCTCACAGATCAGAGCTAATTCACGCCCTTGACACAGACAGTAAGGATAAGGCAGCACAGTTCAATGAATCAAATTTTGATTCCTGGTCATCAACATAACCTGGAAATGTGTTAGAAATGCCCATTCTTGGCCTCATCCCAGAGCGCTCTCTAAGAACATCTAGGGGTTGGGTCCATCTCAGGGACACAAAATACATATAGCATGTCCAAGTCCTACATCAAATACCCAGAACAATAATTTAAGAAAAAAAGAGACATTCTTGGGGGAAGCTGGGAGTGTGGCTTTTGACTTCCAGCACCTTGGTTTTACCCACGATCATGGAATTTTAAAATTGTGGGCCTGGCCAAGCAATCCACAAACCTGATTACTTGACTTCAATCCTTGCTTGATAACTGGATCCCAGAGTGGGAGGAGAGACCTTGTTCCTGGATGTTGTCCCCTGACTTCCACACTAAAAATAACAAATAAAAATAAAAATAACCCAGGCAAGCTAAGTCTGGTAATACATGCTTGTAATCTCTGGGCGAGTTGAGGGTGAAGAATTCCGAGTTTGAGGCAAGCTTAAGCTGCATAGTGAGAGATTGTCCCCCAAACAAAGAAAAATTGTCAATACAGACTATCTGGAACTAGGTCACTTGGCTTGGAACTTTGATTCCTGGCTTTGTGATCTTAGGCCAATTAGTAATTTCCTTCATACTCAGTTTTCTTCGCTGTATAAAGTAGTAAAATATATTTACAGTATTTTGTTAAAATATCTTATAGTATGCCTGGTGACAAGAATCATCTGGGATGCTAGTTAAAAAACCCAGATTCCCCTAGAGGACACCACCCTCGTCAATTGGGCCTCATCAATGCTAGGTCAGTGCTTTACTGGTGGGCGACATCCCGAGCCCTTACAGCATACTTCCTAATAGGAGAAACATTGGTTAGAAGTGCCAAAGACAATTTAAATACTTAAAAAAGTCCCCGAAAACCAAAACCCAAAAACCATGTAACCGCAGCTGGCCTAGAACTCTCTGTCTAGACTTGGCTAACCTTGAACTTAACAGAGATCCAATTGTCTCTGTCTTCTCACTGAACCTGCAGCTTGCTGTGTGGTCTAGACTTGGTTGACTAGGGCCCTCCTATCTCTGCCCCACCCCACCCGCTGCGCACTGGGGGACTATGCCAGTGTTTACATGGATGCTGGGGATTCAAGATCAGGTCCTTGTGCTTGCATGGCAAGTGCTCTTACCCACTGAGCCATCTTCCCAGCACAGACTCTATTTTTTTAATGAACTCTCCTAGCACATAATGCATACTATGGTAGTTTCAAAGGTATTTCAAAAAGTGTAAGTGACTTTCTAGATGGTTTCCCCGAGAGAAAACAGTATAGACAATAATGGCTAAGACTAATTATCAAGTGCTTAAGTAGTGCCTCTGACTATTAGTACTGCATTATTAATTCTCACAAACACTTTCATGAGGGAGGTTGGGGAAAGACGTAGGTCCAATTGCCTGGGTTAAGAAAGCCTACATGAGCCAGGCAGTCATGGCGCACACCTTTAACCCCAGCACATGGGAGGCAGAGGCAGGCAGCTGTCTGTGAGTCCGAGGCCAGCCTGGTCTACAGAGCAAGCCCCAGGACAGCCAAGGCTATACAGAGAAACTCTGTCTTGAAAAACAAAAAACAAAAAACAAAACAACACCACAAAAAGAAATCCTACATGCAGCTTAATTTAAGCAACCGAAGAAAGTAACTAATGGCATTTCCCCCGCCCCCCACAACTTCGTTGTAAGGATTAAGAAATATGCTTTTCAGTTTTTAGAACTCCTACCGCGTTGGCACTGTCAAGCTGTCACCCTCCTAGGAACGCCCTGTCAAAAGGTAGAGAAAGGAGAATTTGAACCTAATCATTTTAACTCCAGAAGGATTGCACTGGCACAGTGATTTCCAAATTGTGATTCCTGCTGTCAGTATTATCACTAGAGAACTTGTTAAAAATGAGAATTATAACCCCACCCTTCATCCCAGATCTACTGAGTCAGAAACTGTCAGAGGAGTTCAGCAGGCTCTTTTTAAAAAGCTGTTCAAGTGATTCTGAGGCACACTAGGGTTTGTTAACAGTCTTCAGAGTTTCTTGTAGAGGAGGGTTTTAAAAAAGGAAAGAAGATGGAAAGAAAAAGAAGAAAAGGACAAAGACTTGGAGATGTAGAGAGCAAGGTTAGGTCTACTTCACCTGGAGGTGAGGAAAAATGATTTAGCAGACTGGTGCGCAAGGCCTGCTGGGGCCTGTAGTCCCGACTGCGCCTAAGAGGACGCGCCTGCGCACTGGGTGCGAACTCACTCTAGTCGCTGTAGTCGGGGCTCGGGACCGGCTGCCATCTTAGTGGAGGGACTGAGGAGTCGTCGCCGCCCCGAGTCCCGGTAAACACCCGCGGGCAGACTGGGGTCAATTCAGTGGTTAGGAGGGGGCTCGGATGAAAAGGCATGAGGAATGCGAGGGGTAGAAGGAGAGCGGCGCGAGTCGGGACCTGGAGCCGGGGCTGCTCTTCCCACAGCCGGTGGCCGTGGGGGGCGCCCGGAGAGCCGGCTGGTGGCCCGAGCGGGGCGGCGGGTGGGTCAAGCGGGGCGAGCCGAGCTGCTAATGCCCGGCATAGGCCCCCCTCCCCGAGCCCGTGGCCCCGCGATCGCCGAGTTGGGAGAGAGCCGAGCCGCGGCGGACGTGGGCAGGGTCCGGCCCCGCGCCCTGCTGCCGCGCCCGGGGGCTTCTTCCCCGCGGCCCGGCCTACGCGCGGGGCCCGGTGGCAGCGGCCCGCCCGCGCTACGTGGCCCTTGGAGGGGCGGCGGCCGGGCCCACCTGCCGCCTGGCAGGCTCTCCCGAGACTTTGCACGCTCCCACTCGCGGAGGACCTTCCCCAGGAGCTGCCTCCCCTTCTGTCTTGCACTCCCCTCCTCCCTCCATTGTCCCCCCTCACGGTGGTCCCGGCCCAGGCCGGCGCCGCCGACTTTTGCAGACGTGGAGCTGAACCGAGTGGAGTCCTTTGTACCGAGAGCATACTTTTCTTTAGCGAGGAGAAAAGTGTATTTAAAAGGGGAAAGCCTGATGTGGGCATGACTTTTAAGTGTAAGACTCCAGTTTTGAGACATGGTTCCGGGCTGCAGCTTCAAAAGAGAAAAAAGTAAAATAAGGGTCAGTGCACTCGAAGTAGGCATTGGGCCTAAAGTTAGAGATGTGACCAGGTGAACTTTCGAAGTGCCCGAAACTCAAGATTTCCCAGTCACTGCTTTTCTTGACTGTGTAAGACTCCTAACGTTGAATTTTCTGCTTCTCTTGAACAGCTGCAGTAGTCTTGTTCTGAAGGGAGGAGTGGGGAGAAAAGAGTGAGGTGTTTTGTTTTTCCCCCCTCAAAGTTACAGAACACAATCTAGCCACCCATCATTATGTTCTTTAAGTGCAGTGCTTCTCTTGTGTCCTTATCTTAGGAAAGTAGGTAAAGAAAGGCTCTGCGTGTTCGCTCTCAGGGTTAGCAAAGGGCTTGGTTCTTACCTGAATAAAGGTTTTTATTTGGGGGTGGTTCAAAATTGATGAGATTCAGCCTCGTGCATCACAGGTTTACTTAAGACTTAATTTTGCAGGTTTAGAATAGTGAACATACTTTGTGTGAGTTCAGGTGATCAGACTGTAGATGTCACCAGGATAAAATATGAAACCAAAAGCAGGTTCCTAATACTTTCTTTTATTGTATTCTAGAGTAAATACACCCTACATTCTTTTCAAAATAGCTTTACATTCAATAAGAGACAGGGCGACTCATGGTCCCAAAATTTGTCCATTAGCATAATTACAAGAGTTTAAAATTATTTTTGTTTTGTTTTGAGACATGATCTTGCTGTATAGCTCAGACTGGTCCAGAACACACTGTGTAAACTTAGGCTGGCATTGAACTTTATTTTATCTCCCTGCCTCTGCCTCCTGAATGCTGGGATTTTAGGTACATGCCACCAAGGTGGGCTCTGGAGACATTTCAGATTTGTTTATTTGTGTGTGCGCACCACATGCCATGACTTGAGTTGGAGGTCAGAAGATAACCCTCAAGACTGTTACCTCTTCCTGTGTCCCAGGGTTCAAATTCAGGTTTGTAGAGCAAGTGCCTTGACTTGAGCTTTTTTGCTGGACCAGGAGAGATTTTTAAAAGTGTGCAGCTCAGTTGGTAGAGTGCTTGCTTACTCTACACAGCCCAAAGTTTAACTCGCTGCAGCATTGGGAGGGGAGGCCAGCAGGGACTACATGAGACCCTTAAAAAAAAAGTAGATGTTCATAGGCCTCATTTCCGAGATTGATTGATAATATCAATTTATTTAAAAATATGTCTCAGGTGGTTGGGATGGTGCTGGGAACCACTGAGTCAAACAAGAGTATGGCTATACCAAGAACAGCTCAAAAAGCTAAGCTTTGAGACAGGAGAGGAAATGGAAGAGGCCAGTGTGGGAACTGTTGAAGGAAGTGGCATGCCCTATCTATGGTGGTTAGGCTTGGTGCTGTGGGAACTCAAGGTCAGTTCAAGCCTGGTCAACATAGTAAGTTCCAGGCCAGCCAGAGCTACATGGTGAGACCCTGTCTCAAAAAGTTGCCTGTGGATATGAAATTCTAGAGCAGTGGTTCTCAAAGTGGCTGGAAACCCTTTTGGCAAATCTCTGCCTCCAAAGATATTTACAGTTCAGAACAGTAGCAAAATTACAATTATGAAGTAGCAACAAAAATAATTTTATGGCTAGAGGTCGCCACAGCATGAGGAACTGCATTAAAGGGTCGCAGATTAGGAAAGTGGAGAGCTGCTCCTCTAGAGGATGAGTAGGAATGTGGTGGAGGTGAGGAAAGGGAAGGCAGTGCAGGAAGGAAATACATTACTGTCTTGAGCAAGGCATTTATGTCCCTAGGAGGAGTGTGGGAGAAAAGGAGGTCAGTGAGCAGGAAGCAGAGTGGAGGAGAGCGTGTGGGACTCAAGGCCAGAAAGGTAAAAAGAGCCAGTTCTAGAAAAGTTCTAAGTACAGCGCTAACAGTTTTGAATTTTATGTTGTTCAAAATAAAGGTTTTTGGGAAAGGAAGTGATGTAAGTTGGTGTTTTTTTTTTTTTTTTTTTTTTGAAAGATAGCTCTGGTGATAAAAGTGAAAGGGTGAAAGTGACTGGCAGCAGTCTCCCTTATGAGTGACAAAGGCTGGCCTTGGTGGCAGGGCTGATTAAGGGTTGGGCATCTCATTTTGCTAATATAATAGTGTGCCATGTTTTTGAATGAGGATTGTTAAGGGCTAGTCTGCTTGAAGGGTTCCTTTTCTCTTAGAATATGTTTGTTAGCATCTTTGAGAAATTAGAATCAGAACAGATGCAATTTGGAAGAGAACTTGAGTTTTGAACTATAATTTATTACTTTCAGCACACCGATCCACATTTGGACAATGCGTTTTTTCAAGGCTCAGAAACTTGGTACTTGAGCTTTATAGTTGGAAGAGAT